ATTATGGGAAAGCTGGATTGTGGTGCTCAGGGGTTAAAAAAAGAAGAAAAAAAAACTGGTGAAAGATTTTTTGTTTGTTTGTTTTGTTTGTTTGTTTTGCCATTGACTTGTAGCATAATTAGAAATAAAAGTACTGCTTTCCACTTTAATGTCCAGGTGAGTTTTCTTTTGGTTTTAAATGTTTGTTAAACTGCTGTAACAAAAGTATCATTGGACAAAAGTTTAATGCTGATTTAATATGTAATATTGCTTATGAAAGGTTTTGGAGAGAAAGAAATGGCCAAACATAAAATACAGGAGGAACCACTGGCTGCAGCATAAACTATTTTACATCTACACTAACAGATGTCTGGGGTGAGTAAGTTTTTTTATTTTTTTTTATGTTTTCAAAAAAATTCTCTTATACTCACCAAGGCTGTATTTATTTAATCAAAAATAATTCTGTAATAAAATAATAATATTTTGAAACATTATTACAATGTTTACTATTTTACTATTGTTTACTATTTTAATATTTGTGACCCTGGACCAAAACCAGTCTTAAGTGTCAATTTTTCAAAATTGAGATTTGTACATCATCTGAAAGCTGAATAAATAAGCTTTCCCTTGATCTATGGTTTGTTAGGATAGGACAATATTTGGCCGAGATACAACTATTAGAAAATCTGGAATCTGAGGGTGCAAAAAAATCTAAATATTGAGAAAATCGTCCTTTAATTTTGTCCAAATGAAGTGCTTAGCAATGCATATTACTAATCAAAAATTAAGTTTTAATATATTTACGGTAGGAAATTTACAAAATATCTTCATGGAACATGATCTTTACTTAATACCCTAATGATTTTTGGCATTAAAAAAAATCGATAATTTTGATTTCTGATTTGATTTCTGGGTGATTACAACCCATACATTGTATGGGTCTCATACGATAACATTGTATGAGACCCATACAATGTTTTTTTGGCTATTGCTACAAATATACCCCAGCGACTTAAGACTGGTTTTGTGGTCCAGGGTCACGTATATTTTAAAATATAATTTATTCCTGTGATGGCAAAGCTGAATTTTCAGCATCATTACTCCAGTCTTCAGTGTCACATGATCCTTCAGAAATCATTCTGATATGCTGATTTGCTGCTCAAGAAACATTTCCGATTATTATCAATGCTGAAAGCAGTAGCATTACTTAATAGTTTTGTGGAAACTGATACTTTTATTTAAAAAAGCAACAAAAAAAAACAGCATTTATTTGAAATAGAAAACTTCCGTCTTAACTTTACGCCTTGCTCAATTGAATACAGTACATCTGTGCTGTGCAAATGTTTGAATGGTGATATGTTTTTCAGTAGTTTGTGTATTTCCTGGGAATCAAACCCATGACCCTGGTGTTGCTCGCTCTACACACTACAAGTTGAGGTACAGGAACCAAGTTTCTAGACAAGTGATGACAATAAATTCTCTCTAAATCTGTTTGTATACACCAAGCGAATGATTTGACAGGAATCCAACAAAATTCACACTTTAATCCAGAGTTGAGCCTTACAAAAATTAAAGAAGATTGGAATCCCGATGATAGGTCACTTAATTAAGGATCGTGTTAAAAAGCTGTCCACTCAAAAGGCAAATTAAGCGACAAGTGTTCAATAAACGACAAGATGTATACAACAACAAGACCGTCAACACCGAACAACAGTCTCATTATGTTCATATTAAAACACGATAATGAGATGTGTGTGGAAAGAGCAGATGGTCCAGAATTTAAACACAGTTTAGTATTATAGAGCAAATATCAGCAATTCGATTCCACAGTAACCACAAAGACAAAATGGAAAAGGACAGAGACAGATAAAGTTGACTCGACTGGACAAAGGTCAAAATCCCGCACTGCAAACGCAGGCAATTAAACTAATGATGCCAGGGGTGTGTGCAGCAGTAAGCAGCTAAAATGGAGTAAAGATCGCTTCATTAAGACCCAAGAACCTGATGTAATTAGGAGTAGGCCAAGATTAGTGTCTGTCAATGGTTTTGCTTGGGATTTGCGGGTAATAGAGTTATCATTGAGACTCAAGGAGTGTTACATTACACTTCGGAATAAACAAAAACAAATTAGCAGCGTCGTCCAATAATGGGTTATCTTGTCAGAGCCTGACAGAAATCCATGCCCTATAACACAGTGTTAATTTTATGCATCACTGACAAGCACCTTCACAATCAATGGAGGTACTATAAAGTCAGGGAGACCATCAATTCAAGTTCAGGACAGGTAGACAAGGAGTTTTGTGAGGCCAGTGTGTATTGGACCCAAAGGTATTGTTTGTTGAAATCCTATTTTGAACTTTAAAAACTTTTCTGACCTATTAAATGCCTCAATAAATATAATAATTACAGCATCAGTATGAAATACATAATACGGGAGTGAATACACTTATGAAGTAATACTTTGTCTTGTTATACTTAAAGTTTCAGATTCCACAACAAAGATAGATCAATATATTTATATATAGAATATATGTATTTAATTTCGATAGGCCACATGGTTTATGAAACAAAAATATATGGGAATATACTGGAAAATATAATGCAATATCACAATATATATTTCCCACATAACTACATACATTGCACATGTTCCCAAATTTGAATATATACAGGTGCATCTCAATAAATTAGAATGTCGTGGAAAAGTTCATTTATTTCAGTAATTCAACTCAAATTGTGAAACTCGTGTATTAAATAAATTCAGTGCACACAGACTGAAGTAGTTTAAGTCTTTGGTTCTTTTAATTGTGATGATTTTGGCTCACATTTAACAAAAACCCACCAACTCACTATCTCAACAAATTAGAATACTCCATAAGACCAATAAAAAAAAATTTTTTAGTGAATTGTTGGCCTTCTGAAAAGTATGTTCATTTACTGTACATGTACTCAATAACTTGGTAGGGTCTCCTTCTGCTTTAATTACTGCCTCAATTCGGCGTAGCATGGAGGTGATCAGTTTGTGGCACTATATATATATATATATATATATATATATATATATAGGGTGTGATTTGTGAAAAAAGCAGATGCTTTTGAAAACTTTTTTCTCTCTCCATAGGTGGACGGTAAGGGTAAGGCTGTAGCCTAAGTAACCTAATGTTAGTGTAATCTGTTAATAACGAACATCATAAACCCGTCTTTTTAGGCAAGTAGGCCTACCATAATGGGTGTCATGTCATGAAATGTTTTTAATATGACGGGAACTGTATTTAACGTGATCACAATCTATTAAAAACATTGTAAGTTAGGCCTATTAATTGTAATGATTTCATTTCCACGGTTATTCAAGCAGCGAATAAATGATAGAGAAAGCGAGCAAAGAACACAGTATCAACGGAGCTTTTTGAAACTCCGAATCAGTTAAACCATTGAGTCGCAAAATGATTCACTGTTTCGAAGCGCTCCAATCGGATCGCGTATCGCAAATCATTTGATTCGGGACTTCAAAGCGCGTATCGCGAATCATCTGAGTAAGATCGGGACCTCGAAGCGAGATCGCGGGATGGTTTTATCCCCACCGGAGATAAAAATAATTCAGCAGAGGCAGGGATGCATAAACCAGAGGGGGGGAAATCCCCCCAATCTCAGGTGCTAAGTCCCTTAACTCTTCCAACCCAAACAATGCCCCTAATATATATATATATTAGTAGCCTACATATATTCATACATTCAAATATTTTTCAATATATGGAAAGTGGCAATTCCTTATGAATATTAACACAATATATTATTCTGTATATTTTCAATATGCATTATAAAGAATTAAATATATTGATTGTTGATATATAAAGAAATATATTTTCTTCGCTTAAGGGTCTGATTTAAAATGGTCATGTGTCAGATCAGGGTCAGATTACCCTGCCTGGGTTCACATGAGAACATCTAATCCGACTGCATATCACTTGTACTCTAATTTAATTTTAGTGCCTGAACTTCTGCTACAGCAAGAGAACAACCTCAGTTAATAAGTTTAATTATAGATATGATTCATCATTCATGGACAGCACAGTGAAATCAAGATGTTTATTAGTAGGTGTACTGGATCATGATGTGCATCAAGTCTTATTAATACAAATAGAAAAATCAGCCACCTAATTCAAATGAAGCCACATCATTACGTTTCGAGTTGTTTTCTCTGATTTTACACTATCATTCACTGGCTGATATTGATAAAGAAACAACAAAGATGCTGTTTTGATCCTCTGCTGTCCTGGCGACCATTGATTAAGCAATGAACTTTGACCTCAGGAGCAGGATTCCACACTAGAATCACCTCATGGCTGTCAGAGCTGATTAGCTCAGCTGATCTAAGAGCACAGGCTTTGTGCTGTCAATACCAATTAGCAACCACAGCATATTCCAGTGATGGTATCATGTTCTGAATACTGATTAATTAGCTTACAAATTTATGATTTCAGAGTAGAAAAAACTTTATGTAAATCTTTTTTCTTTGAGCAAGTCAAGTACTTTTTTATGTTAATGCAGAACAAGAGTGTAGTATCTGTTTGTCATTATTATGTATTGTAAACTGATACTGTAACACATTTACTGCCATCATTATTATCAGAGACATTACTTTTGACTTTTTTTATCTGTATGAATAAACTGGTAATGGTAAATATAAATAACTTCTATATAGAATTTATATCATGTAAAACATCCATTGATGATCTCAAAACATTTGAAAGATTTGTTTCTATATGTCACATATTACCTGTTCTGTTTTGGACTTTATGTTGAAGTTTTGGTTCCTTAGTTTCATTTCCTCCCTTAGATGTATAGTCCGTTTCATTTTTATTTTTATTATTTTTTTTGTACTTTGTTAGGTCTTGATTGTTGTCTTCAGTATTTAGCTGGTGTTCTTGGTTCTGGTCTTTGCTTTCTTTCTGGTTTTGTTCAGTTTTTGGATTTTTCTTTATGAAAAGTCGTTTATTTTGGATTTTCCACCTTCTTCACAGTGAAGTCCATGACGATATGTCAGAGATCGTGTCTGCTGCATTCAAATGAGATGACTGCTCTCTCTCATCCAGCTGTAAATGCTAATGTAATTAGGTGCTCCTGAATTTCTTTTCTGTGCTCCTAATTTATTTTTATTTTTTTTACAAATTAGCAGCACAAGTGCTCCTAAAAATAAAAGTAAGCGTAGAGCCCTGTTTAGTGAGTGTGGTGGTGCTTATGAGGTGCTGCTCTGGGACGGGTGAGTATGCGGCTGGCAGGGAAAAATCACAGTATACTCACTACAAAAAACTAGACTACTCCACTGGCCTGAATAAATGAACAACCAACTGCAAATATCAGTTTCTATAAATGTGATATGTGTCATCCTTGTGCACCAGACCAGTTTTATCAAGGATCGCTCAGAATGTTTTCATTTGTTTTTACATATCAGTGGCATTGTACCTTATAGACAAAAACCTTAAGTCAACGTGATATTTTGTATCAACATTTCACTGATCCTGGATCAAATGGCTTTTATTTTGCCAGGACTGCCGGAGGGAGTGGTAAAATGAAGTTAGCAATGACATTTATTGGGCTACTCAAAGGCTTAAAGGGAGTGTCACTTCAAAAGCAACCTGAGAAGAATGATCCATTCTGTACAATATACTAAATGCTTCTGCCTTCAAGGTGGTATGGAAATTACTATCAGAATATAAGTTTTAAAAAATACAATAAAAAAAATAATAAAACACATTTCCACATCTGTTTATTTTCTAATACATTTCCAGTTCCGTTTCTGATTTGGTTTTTGCAAGTGAACAACAAACATAAGATTTGCCATTACACTTGTTCTTTCTATTAGTGTAAAACGATGTTTTTCTTACTCTGAGAGACCTTTTCAACTAGGAAGAACACTGATGGGATGTCCATCTATTTGTTGGCTGACATGGTGAGAATGAAAGAATGAAAGTTGTTGGGGGAAGGGTCCTGCATTTCTCTTATTAAGTAGGGGTTCATCGGGCACTAATGCATTGTGATATGATTATTTTCCTCAGGCAGTTATCTAGGTCATGGTCCATGACCAGCCTTATAAAATGGGCCATGTGATGGTCAGGGAGGTACTTTAAAAGCCATCAGAAATATTCAATGTGAAAGGAAATGGTTGTTTTGCCACAAACCCACTGGTTGCCATAGGGATTAAAGCTATGGAGACTGGATTTGTAGTCAATACGCAAATTATGTATTGATTACCATAGCTCCACTGATGATGGTCTATGGTGGATTTTACTGACCAAACATCAACTCAACCAAATGCTTTCTGACAGCTGTATTCGTCCTTATCGGATAAAATTATAGCATATATGACCATTTTAAAGTTCTGCATTTCCTGGTTTATTAATTCTGTAAGTTCAAATTTGTACTTTTCTTATATAAATATGTACATACATACATAAAGAAATAGTGCTTTATGGCAGCGTTGATATTTTCAGTTTCAGTTTTTGTTGGCATTATCAGAGCACTACCACAGCTCAACAACAGACTTTTCATGGCTTATTGAGAAAGTCAGTGGCTGTTTAGAGTAGACCAAACATTATCCTGAAGCAAAGAGGAAAAACCTGTCGATGTTGTCAATGTGGATATATGTATGCATAGCTCTGCTTTCCATTTTGCGTCATCGGGATTGTCACGCATCACATCAGGAGCCAATGACTATCACGTTGTTTCTGGGTGCCAAATCAACAGAGATAAATCACTGAATAGGCTAACAGGCAACGTCTTTTTTTTTTGTCCGTCTGCTTGTTGTGAGACTAGGTGTTCGAATCCTGCCAAGCCAGTGCTGCACCTGCCTTTGTGAAGATAATATGAAACATTTAGAATGCAAATTCACCAAAACACACAAAGCAGAGCCAAAGCTATGCAGCACAATGATGAATGTGCTGCCACTAACATGCTGACATCCCAACAAACACAGCTGGCCCACACTAGTCTTTTGCTTATTTTTCTGTTTTGCCTTACAAATGGAGTCCTGTGCAATATTACTGCCTCATTACTGCATTACAAAAGAGCCATTTTAATGGTGGTTTTATTGTCAGTCCGTTTAGGTTTCCACTCCAGCAGCTGACGTCAATACAATGCTTAATATCACTTAGCATTTTATAAAACAGTTTATACTCACCATTATAAAACAGATAGTTCTGGTTCTATGTCATGACTTCCGCTCATGGCGCGGAACACCTGTTCATCAAATCCCTGTGCAGCTCTGATAGCAGATCATTATTTTTACTGCATTGCATTTTGTCAAGGACTATATCTTCTAGCTCAATAAGTATCCTTCTGAAGCAGGGGTATTGCTTGGGTTGGAAGAGTTAAGGGACTTGGCACCTGAGAAAAGAGAAAAACAATGTATTAATAGCCAGGGGTGTAAACTTTTGAACAGAATGA